TGGGCTGCAGGGCTGCAGTCGTGGATCACGTTGCTTGGAGGAAGCAGGCAGGGGATATGTGAGGAGATAAACACTTTTTTTTCTGATGCTGGGAGGGATTTCTTTCAACTCAGCCACGTTCACGACCCGAACCTGGATSATTTTTGCTGCTCGCTCCCGCTCGACTCCTCCCTCCTGGCCCGGACTCGCCAGGCTTTTGTCTGATTAATCGGTACAGCTCCTTCCAGGGCTTCCTGGGGGCTCTTTGGCCGCTGGGTTATGAAGACCCATGAGTTCATTGTTTAAATTAAGTTCTTCTATATGGAAGCACCACTGGTTTCCCATATGGTCTTGGCAAAGCCACCATCCGCTCTCCACCTAAATTAAATTTCACTAATTGAATTAGTTACCATTTTATCAGCTGCCGCTTCGCAGTAGTTTGTGAACCCCCAGGGGTTCAGGCCACGCGCAGTCAAGAGCTTCCCCACCTCAGTCTCTCATTTATCATGGTGACAATACACAGCGCCGGGAGAAGCAGGGGGGTGGAGAGCACTGTGCCCTTCCCAGGCATCCCAGCCATCTCCGAGCATCCTAATGATTGACCTCTGCGAGTGAAGCAGCCCTGCGCTGACCCCGCACTGCTGAAAGGAAGCATTCTCCCCTTTGTCAGAATCCCCCTGCGATGGTGGCGCGGGCCAGGCTGAATGCGGGAGTGTCACAAGGGAAGCCCCGCACGCTGGCAGCGGCGCCCTGGGAYCGTGCAGCTTCCATATGCCAGGGGACCGATAGCGACAGGCCTGGGCTCAGGGGACAATGCCATCACGCTGTCCCGCGGGCGAGAAAGGGACAGGGGACACGTGGAAAAGCACAGCCTGAAGTGGGTCTGCCAGCGTCTGGCAGCGGAGCGTGGAGTGTGAAGCGTGTCACCTGCTCCAGSCCCCGCTCTCCTCAGCAGCCACCAGGGGCTCGGCTATTGTTCTGTCCCGGCAGGATGCCGGGGATGCAGTGCCGGAGTGGGGCGGTGGGCGCCCAGCACTGCCACAGGTGCTCCTGGCTGCTGGACTGCACCACTGCTCAGGGCTGGGGCTCTCCGCAGGTGCTGATGCCCGTTTGGAGAAGATTTGGATCTCATGTTACATCCTGGAGGGGCTAGGGAGGTGTGAGAGGATCATCACCCCGTGCTTCCTGCCCCCCTGTTGCTGCACCATCATCTCCTCTCTGTGGGGGAGGAGAGGGATGCATGGAAGCATCGGACAGAATGGGGTTGTACCCTGCAGGAAATGCTTTCTAGGAACACACCAGCACTGCACGATGCTTAGCGGTGTGGTAATGCCTCTGTGATGGAAAGCAGGGATGGTAACCCAGTAGGGATTTGCAGGCTGAGCAAGCTGAGCTTAGCAACCACACCAGTTTGTATTTAGACCCCTTGCTGGAGGCAGACACCTTTCCTTTCACTCAGATGCTGCCAGACCTGAGTTTGCTTTGCAGGTACGGCACAGACCCATCGGCAGTGACGATCAAGTTTGGTATTTGCAGGTACACCCGAATGAGAGCCACCAGCACCTACAGCCAAACTCCACCATTGCCAAGATAATGTGTCAAAGAATGACTTGGTTTTCCTCTGTGGACCTGTGATGCAGAAGAAGTTTAGATGTCCCTGGACAGAGGGAAGCCAAACCTGAGAATGAAGCTGCTACTGGAGTTTGGAGCAGGGACAGCACCCTTCTGCCCACAGCCACCCACCCGCTTTGCCTTTTGGAGGCATGTACTTGAAAACAAAACAAACAAACAAAAATATGTTAAAAAAGGATTGGAACTAAATGTGCGTTTCACCGAAGTCTGGCTAACACCCAACATATCATAACCTTGATAGAATGCTGACTTTTTTCAGAAACTCCACAATGGTGTTTGAATATCTGAGAAAAAAAACAGGACTGCTCACTAGTCTTTCATGTTCAGCAGTAGGTTGATGCTTAAATTCATAACTAGTCACCAATTTATACTTCCTGACCAATTTTAATTTTTCCTCATAAATCATCAAAAAATATTTAGAGACGTCACAGCAACGAATTAGTCAGAAAGTGTTCAGAACAGATTTATTGGACAGTAAGTGGGATTTATTCAAGCTGATTACTGGTTTCACCTTTCTGATTTATGTTGCAGGTTTTCACCTGGTTTTCTGTTAAGTCATATCTCTTAGCTTCCATTTTTACCTCTGCAAGTAGACTTCAACAAAGACCAGTATCAATTTTCAAAGCAGACCATGGCTGCATTAATGAGGTTATGAAATAATGAACAAAAGCTGTGAAAATGTGCACAAAGTCTGGCACCCATCAAAGTACCACAAAAGCAGTAGGGCTGAAACCTCAGCACTGCTCCGAGGTTTGTATCTACATCAGTGGCAGCGATGGCAATATGGAAGTGTCCAAAGTGGTGAGTGATTTGGAGCAGCAGCTGCAGCACCAGCATGAAGAAGAGGGTGTTGGGTCAGCAGTGGGAGCAGGAAGATGGGGTGGAGGGGAGAGGCACCTGGGGAGGGACACCTGGCTGTGAGGTGCTGGACAGGGATGGTTGGCACAGGAAGCACTAAGAGGGAGAAGGTGTGGGATGTGCGCTCTCAGTGGCACTGGGGGTTTAACCAGGCTGCCTCACTGTTGTGAGCCGTGGATGGAAATGGCCTGTGGGTCCACCACCTCTGCACCTTCTGAGGTTTAWATGTGGCTGGACTTGGGTGCAATCTCGGGGCACACCAGATGCATTGTTACAGGCCTSTACTGCACCTCCGCTCTCTCCCTGTCTGTGCAGAGCTCGTGTTGAGCAATCCCCAAAATGTTTACTTTGCTATCGGAAGACAATGGAAATTTACTCCAGAGCTTTACCTCATCACTGCTGGGATATTTGTGGGCAGCAGTGTTTCCAGCACCGCTTTGGTTCTTCCTCTGACTGTCTCCTCCTGTACGAGAGGCAGCTGGCTTTGCAGCAGTGTTATTTTCCCCCCAATTTCATTTGAACCCATTGCCTCCAGTACTTCTGTGTWCACCCCATTCACATATTCTTCTGAATTTGCATCAGCCAAAACATTAGTCATCGAAATGTTCTCTCTTCCACACTTAACAAAAGCTCTCCTTTCCACAGAGGAGCCCTGAGGAGCCAGGGGCTCTGCATGGGATCACATTCCCTCTCCATGTGGTGCCAGCTGTGGGGCACCTCCCGGAGGGAGGACAGATTTGCCAGCACCCATCCACTAGCTCCATCTAGTGAAAAGAGTACAGCACCCATCAGCCTGGGCTCCCCAGCCTTCCCTGGACACCCAGCAGGGTCACCCTGGCTTCTTCAAATCCCAACGTGGGTCGCACTGGGGATGTGAACGTGGCTGGAAACCCATGGGCTCAAAGCTGCTGGGGCTGTGGCCACAGAAGGAGGTGAAGGGGTGTGGGGCAGGGCAAAGCAGGGTGTGTTGGCTCCATGGGTTCCATGGTTTCCTCTCTGAGGGAGGAGTGAGCTGGAGCATCTCCTGCTGCTCTGGGGGCTGGAGAGCTCCTTCTCCCGAGACAGTGAATTTACGGTGTGGATGCAGAGCGACTCTGGTATTCACATGAACACGCTTTAAACTGTTAATGTTTTCATGCTTCTTGGCATCACGATTCTGAGACTKCCAGCATCATCCACTGCTTCTAAGACATAGATGCCAGCACCAAGAACTTCACTCTTCTGCTGGACTGGCTGCTGAGGACAGAGAGATTAATGCAGCAAACCTATGTCTGCATYGTCTACAAGAGAAAAATTGCATTTTACATGAGTCTCTTTATGTCTGCAGAGATTGAACAGTGGCTTGGCCCTTTTTACAGCAGTCACAACACAGACCACCACTGTGCAGAGCTGCATCATTCCTTGCAGAAAAGAGGTGGCTTTTGTGCTGTTCGGAGATGTCACAGTCTTTCTTTTTCCACTACGGGCACTCAYGGTTCACCTTTTGGCAAGCCCACCCAATTACCTATTTCTCTCAGCCTGTTAGGAGGATGGCTTAGATGTCTGTTCACTCGGTTCCTGAAACATTTGGGTTCAACCAGGCTGTTTTTCCAACCTCTAGATGAACTGCATGAGTTTTAAGGTGATTTAATAGATCACAGTAATTTTAAATTCTGCAATAGCATGACAAATCTGATGTTAAGATTTGAGTCTGGGACTCCACCATGTTCTTGACTGCTGCTGTTGGACAAGATTAGTGGAAGTAGGGATTCACCTGATATCACTCTGTAACTCTTTAYTTTAGTCAGTGGATTCCTTCGGGACTGAGATTAAAGTTATTTTTATGCTCTTCATTTCTGCTACCTCACTGCCTATTGAATTCATCATTTTCATGGGAATGACACCTGAAACATGGCAATCTGGGAAAGAAATGGGAATAATTATAGGTTAATTTCTGGGTATGATGACTTCATATGGCAGTTTGGCAAAAAAAAAAAAAAATAAAAAAGGCTTGTACTGTTCTCATGCTGTGCAAAAGGGGAGATCAGGGTGCAACAGGAGGTCGCTGAGAGGATGCACTTCTCTGGTGAGAGCCACAATGGATTATTGGTTCTGCCTCTGCTAGCCATGATTGGAGATGTTGAAGGAGGCTGAAAAATGACAGATGTGCCAGGTAAGATCCAGAACAATAAAAGATCTTCATATGAAAACCCCATTTTTCAGTTTAACAACAATTATGCCCCTTGAAAGAAGTTAAAAGTGATTTTGTCTTTGCCTATAAATATCTAGATCAAAAGGAACTATCTGATATAATTGAACTTTTTTCATTCAGCCAATGAGACTAATACACTCTGCTGGCTGGAGGTTTAGGAATCTAAGTCTGGAATAAAGGTTACATTTTTAAGAATAATCATAACAATCCACTTCATTTGAGCAATCTGGGGAACTGCAGTGTTATTCATAGATTAYATTCCTCTCAACAATACAAAAAAGATCATTAATCATTCTTGGTTTGTTTTTTTTTTTTAAGAGCAACATTGCAGTAATTCCTATCTCTCTTCCAGACAAAAGCAAATGATTTAATTTTGAATTAAATTTTGAAAATCATTCTGTGCTTGGTATTCCAGCTAGATGATGAGACTCTGTGACTCACAAAGTTTCTTGAGTTTTTCTGTRTTTTGTTTCATTACCTCTCAAACAAAAGTATTGGATCGAACATTTCAGCAGTCTGCAGGTTAAACAATGAAGAATATTCTTCACTCTCAGGCCATTTTGTGGTTTAACAAAGATGAAACCTTGTGCAAAGCTGACCCATGGCAGCTCCTCTCTCCCATCCCCTCTGCTTGGGGGGCACATCATGAGGTAAAAGAAAAGTCAATCTTGTCTAACCAAATTCACCTCCCACTAGAAGGAGGAAACATGTGGGAGGCTTCTGTGTTGCTCAGGTGCTTCAACCGTGAAACTTCGTTTTTCACTATAACCCCCTTTTTTTCACCCTGCAGTGTCTCTCCTGCCTGGCTGYCCAATGGAGATTTAAGGAAATACGGCACGTACCCTCGAAGTAAGAAAAGCGTTGTAAGAATGGGAAGATTCCAGGAATAGCAAATGTGGTATTACTCAATAAACATTAAGTAACAAACAGGCCCTCAAGGCATAGAAGGAAAAAAGCATTCATTGACCTTTTTGGTACAAAATTTTTAAGAAAAATGTGCATGATTTGAAGACGTTTGATGTTCCTCTCCAGCGTGACTGCTGGATTTATTTACCGGAATCTTTAAGGCTCAAACTGGAATGAGGGGAAGCAAGAGAGGGGTTTTCCTCTGCACATACTATAAAGGAGAGAAGTCAAGTGTCTTTGCATTGTGCAACACATGATTTCTGTAACTTTAATCAAAACGTGTGTGCTGGGTGGGGGGGGGGGGGGGGGGGGGGGGGGGGGGGGGGGGGGGGGGGGGAGAGTTAGATTGCGTTGATAGGGCATTGCTTAGAGAAATTCCAGTTCCTGAAGCTCTTAACAAAAGAATTCGCCATGAGGAGGGGGAAGGGTTGGCAATGAAGGCCTTTTTTTTTTTCTCAAGAATTCCCATTTGGAACATATTATGCTCTTGCAACACGGGATGGATAAACACTGTATTAATGATTAGATGGAGACCAAGAGCTGAATTTGTTTGCGTTTGATAAAGCAGTTGTTCTATTGACCATATGTCTTTAGTCTTGAGAAGAAATAGCTGTTAAGAGAAAGCACGTCTCTTTGTGAGAATTAACCGGACTGTGTGTGCGTAAAGGATGAACAATCACTTGAACTGTGCCTAAAGCCACTGACATTTTACCCCTGTGCCAGTTTCACTTTCAGAAACCAGCTGTCAGGTTATCAGGCTGAGAGATGATCCGTTCAATCTGCTGGGTTTCTGGTGATGTGCATGCCAAACATCACAGGATCATCATGAGCTGGAATCCAATGCATTGAAAGCAAGCTGGATGARCAGGTAAATATAGAAGGGAAGCATTGCACCTGGGCTGATACGAAGGTACACAGTAGCATCCAGATTTGCCTAATGTAGAAATTCCAGTGTGTTCTTCTTGGTCTTTTTCCTAAATTTACCTTTTAATTTTTAAGACAGTCCTCCAATTTTCAGGTGCACAATTTCCCAGGTGCAAAATGTTTTCTGGAAGAACCATGTCAAAATCTGTGCTGAGCTTCCAGCTGGTTGCCTGGACAGAGAGTTCTGCTCCCGTTTGTCCTGGCTGGTTMAGATGGGGAAGAGATCCCTCAAGAAAAATTGCTTTCTATGTAAGCCATATGGGCCCTGGAAAGGGCATAAACAAATGGGTTTCTCAAGATTTTGTTCTTGGTGCTCTCCTGCCAAAATTTTTAGGAATTTTTCCTTTACAGCTGAAAAACCATGATTCACCATTTAGATAGGAAATAATAAATTAGAAGGTTTTGACCTGGAATTTCTCTTGGACTCGTCTGTCATCAGGAGAAAGCCCAGCACTGGGATGACAGCATTAGATTTTYTTTGAATTTAACATCAGTTAAGTTTCCAAAATGAATCATATGTTCTTTGTTGGTTTTCCCATTTTACTGGAGATGTGTAGCTTCTGTGGAAGATCTGAATTTTATCTATGTGCTAAGTTCACCCCAGGTATCGTAAATAGGGACAAACTAATTCTGAATAAAGAACCTAAAGYTCCTGAGGATTAAAAATACTGCTTTTTCATAAAATTAAATACTTTATGAGTAGTGGTAGCATTCCTAGATAATGCTCTGCTGGTGCAGAGAAAGGTTTCATGTGTTGCCTCTCATAGGAATTTCGTCCCTCCCTGAATCAAAAAAGGAAACTTTCAAGCAGCCTGAAGGGCTGAAGAGGGCTCAGTTTTGAGTAAAAACCAGTTCTCCACCCTTCAGTGTAAGACAAGGGCAAGTCTTGTTCCTCCCCTGTGCAGGAATGGGAATGACTCAAAGTTAGACCACAGGCTAAAGTCCAGGAGTGAGACTGTTGGATTGAGAGCAAATAAGACAATTCAGAAAGGCATAGGGAGGAACATCTACAGACATTGGTGACTGTGCGGGAACCTCGGATATGCGGTGAATATACAAATGTCGTGGTTGGGAAAGATGCAAAGGGGAGAACAGAGACACTCCTCAGGCTGGAAAAAGGAGAGAAGCTGAGGGAGCTGCCAGGGTGACAGGAGCCTTTGAGCTGCCTGGGCAAAAAGACATTCTGGAGAYGTGATGCTTGTTAAAGGAGGCACTGCTTCGAGCGAGAGGAGAAATGGGTGTATCTCAAACAGGCACGTGGGGATGACAATGGCCAGTAACTCAYCCAGATTAGACATGTCCCCAAGGAAACACAGGAGATGGAGGCAGATCACTCAGATGGGCACCCCAGTGTGTGAAAAGAGTGGAAAACAGGAGGATGTGAGAAATTTGGGTGTCTCATAAGGTCATGCCAGATGCCTGCACGTACAATGCAGATTTKCTGGAGCATCAAAACAGGATCCAGGTAGGAACAGTTTATAGAGACTTGGATTCAGACCTGAGAAGGGTGCAGTGATTAAGACCATATTTAAACATGATGTCTGGGTACTCTGGATGCTCTGGATGGATTTTGACCACAGGGCTGGGCAGTGCCAGCAGAGCATAGGAGCCTCTCCTCTGTGCTGCAGCTGGAAGGGGGGTTACCTTAGCTGGATATGAGTTACTGCTGTGCCCTCATCACAGTACAGTGATGTATCAAAAGCAAAAGGAAGAACTTCCTATAGAAGTTATTCCTCTCCAATGGATGTTTTGCCTATTGCTTTCTACAGGAGACTGCAGTTGATTCCCTGCAGTGACTGCTAAGAAAGGAAATAACCCCAAAGGTTGGGAGCTGCAGAAAGATATTTGCAAGTGTGTCACATGCAATGACAAGGGATAAATGATATYTTCTGGTGCTTTTACACTTTGGATTGAAACAAAGAAGAGGTAGGGTGTTTTTATACTTTGTTTTGAAGGGGAGCTCATAGTTAGATCAGCGTGCCATACAGAAAGTCCTTGCAAAGGTTGGTTGCCAGGTAGCACATATAGTTGGAAAAGTTTTCAATGGCTTGATTCCTGCTGAAGTTTGCAAGTGAAGGAGAGTAAGATGTGGAAGACTGTGTAGAATCACTAGCTAGCTTATTACCTAATACTGTGCTGCTAAATTCAGCTTGGAAGAACAGTTGGAGCAACTGCTCTTGGAGCATTTAAAGCAACACAGGGGAGGCAAGGGAATGTAATCAGAACCCAGCAGCCTTTCTGTTTCCCTGCTCTGGACATTTATTCATAGTTCATTTATATCAGSATTTTATATGTCCAACTCATTACAGAGGCACCTCAGAAATCCTCGTTACTGACCAGTGGTGGGAGATCACATGTATGTGRGAGCTGGGGTGTGGAACAAAAAGGTTGGAATCAGCCAAATTTGGAAAGCTTCTGCAGCAACAGGAAGGATAACCTTTTTCAGCACTTGTCTGAGATGCAATTAATGCAGAGCTATGGAATCTCAGCTAAAAGAGCCCCACTTCAGCCTAAGCTGACTGYCCAGGAGCTTGAGACTCTCCTCAGCACAGACACATGAATATCAGGTTCCTAGGATGGCAATGACATCTTCATTGTGGAGTGCTGGGGACAGAGAGGTGTGTGAATCATTAACATCAGGGGACAGCCCCAGTCCTAATCTCTGCTGGGGACCTCAGAAACCTCTGCAAGATGGGAGTTTACCTGGGGTGAAGGTCATTATGACCATTTTTCTTAGTGAAAACCACAGCAAAGTGTAACATGTAGATGTGTGAAAGGCTGGTGGGAGCTCTTATCTGCAGAGCAGCACGCAGTGGCTGTGCTGAGGTGGATATATCGCTGTCAGCTCTCCTCAGCTGATACCAGCAACCCGGGCACAAGAACTCTCTTTTGTGGTGCCATTATCTTTGAGTCCCCGAAATCACTTATGTGACTGAGCTGTTGCAGAGACMTTTTGTTGCCCTGTCCGATTCCTTACAAAAATAACAATGTGTAAACAAATACCATTCCTGTAAATCAGCATTTAATTAGTTCAGTGGAAGCGAGACGTAGCCTGGAAACGAGACTTCACTGGGAGGCTTCCACGTGTTCATGTCCCGACCACCTCTGGCTCTGCATGGATGCTGAGCCCATAGGGAAGACTGTGCCAGACATTTGCTGGGTGCCAGTGTCACCCAGAGGGTCCCAGCAGAGGCGTCCAGTCCTTGTGCAGTGCAGGGACTGCTCATCTGCAGGCTCTTGGTGGAAAACTCCCCAGACATGCAGCGTTTTTCAGGTGCACCTGAGAACCACAGCAAGGAGTGCCAGAGGTCTCGGTGCCTTGCAGCTCGCAGTGGCTCATGCAAATACACTGATATCTTGGAGTTCAGGGTGCAGTAGATAACTGCAGACAAGGTTTTGGCTGAGTCCTGCACTCACTCTGATCTCATTTCCCATTCTGGTGTGTTCTGGGTTTGCATTCACCTCGCTGCCATCCCSAGGCTGTGCAGGATTACGCTGTGACACCATCATCTTTTCCTCACTGTGATGAAGGTGGAGGGAACTGCCTCCCACACAGGAGATGATTTACTAAATCAAGGTGTTTATGTCCTGGGATGTGGAAATGGATACACCAAGTTTCATTGAAGAAGACTCTCCCTCACACTGCTTCTGACCCCAAGAACAAGGGCAAGAAAGAAATTTATTCGAACATGCAAAAGACTGAAATATTTCTGTGAAGGACACATTGCAGTTCTCTTATGTGGTGCCTCCATTCATCATCATTTATTTCCAGACAGTCCAAATTCTACGTGCCAATATGACTTACCTTTTCCTGTGCTTCTCCCTTCTTCTCTAATACCAAGAACCAAGTTGGAGTGCTCACTTCAAGAGTTATTTCCAAACTGTTGTATTTTCTTTTCAGAGGCTCTCAGCAGAAGCAGGGAACAGCCTTCTGTACGTGTCAGCAYGAACTAGAACACTTCCTAGCTTGACCTGCTTCCAGCAGAATAAACACAGATGCCTGAAATGTGAGTTAAAAATTGTACTGTGCACATATAAATAATCTTCCAGCTATGTTAGTAAAATAACACAGCTGTGCTTCTCTAGAAGTAAGAGTCAGACTCTCGTGAGTTGACACACTGATTTAAGTGGCTGCTTCTCTGGTCTTCTGTTTTCCTGAAAGCTGATTTTTTTTTTTTTTTTTTAACCATGGAAGATCAACACAGTCATCAGTTCTTGGTTTTGGGGGCTATGATGTGCTGGTCTGTGGTAGTTTTCCTGGACCTGGAGTTGGTGGCTGCTGCCCTATGCTGTGCCCGGGGCTGTTGCCTCCTGGACTGTGAGYACATCCAGTGTTCCATGGCAGCAGGTGTGGTGGACTCTCTCAAACTCCCTTTTTACCTGTGCTCTGACTGGTCCTGAGCTGGATGCAGCCACATGCMCTGACCTGTACCCAGCCTCCTGACAGTTCTGAGCAGGGTTGCTGCACCTCAAAGCCCTCTTTCTTCAGTCAGCAAAGGAGCAAAAGCCCCATACCCTGACTGTGCAGAGCAGAAGTTCTGTTGCAACAGTGCCAAAATGCTGTCTCTGCTGTGATTTKGAAGGATGGGCTTCAAGCCTGGTTTGTCAGGCCAGGTTTAGCTCAGCTGCCTTCAACTGTGTTTCTTCAAGTATTCACAGTGCTGTTCAAGAGCAAAACAAGTTTCATAAAGGAGCTGGGTCTCAGACAACAGTCGTTCTTGGTGGTGYCCCAGGGGTTGGTGAACTACAGAGCCCAAGACAGCACTGCCTTCCATTGCTGCTCTAAAKATCCTCTGTTGTGGAGGAGGAACAGGAAGGAGTTTCAGAGCTGGCATTCAGTGCCAACCCTCTCAGCTCAGTCAGGGCACTGCTTCACTTGCCTCTTGTCTTTATGTCAATCACCTTTTATAATTTTTATGGTTAGGAAAAGGAAATAAAACCTTAGAGATACAGAAAACCCTGAACACAATATCCAGGCAAAGACACCCTTTTCTGGCTGACGTAAATGCAGCTTCTGGTGTTAGTTATATCCAGGCTTTGGTCTTCCTCCATGTCAGCTCCTGATGCTATCTGCAATAAATGTACGTTTTGATTTRCACCAGTGCAAATCAGAGATACTGTATGACAATCCTGGTGCTACATTTGCAGGAAAATTTTGGCCTGCCTCACATTTCAATTTCTTCCAGAGCCTTCTGGCTGTGGTGGAATTGCAGTGAGTTGACACTCAGCTGCAAAGTGGAGTTCYTTTCTTACAGTCACATTTGCCAAATCATAACACAATAAATTGTCCCTGAGTTTCAGCATGACGGGGGAAATTCCCCCAAATTTCCTCTACTACTCTAAGGGAAGGCAGMCTCACAGATTCTCACAGTTTTGGAGAAGCTTACAAGCAACGAATTTACGAGGGAGGAAAGAACTCACGAGATGTCAGAAGATTTCTTCCTGCTCTTTACAAAATTCCTGGGATTTCCCTGCTGGTGAAAGACTTCGATGCTTTTTCAGCTTCTCATTTCTGTGACTCCCTCAGAGCTGGGCTTCCAAAATTTGCAAGCTGCAGGTTATGAAGACCCCGTGGATTGAGGAGGGATGAGCTCTGGGGRAGAAAGCAGGATGGGAGCAGGCAGAAATGTCCCACCACGGTGACCCATGGGCTACTGCTGACAAGCTGCATTGGCAGCATAACACTTCCCACATCCAGCTGCACGATCCCATCTGCCATCATGGCCTAACTGGGCTCTGAAGGAGCTCTAGTTAAGCTCCTGCTACTGATACCTTCCTGTCCCCTGGGTTACAAGGAGTCTGGGCTGCTTCCCTTCCCTCCATTTCCTCCCCCAGCCCCTTTGCAGCATTGTCAGTAGCTGAAAGGCAGCAGAGGAGCYGCTGTTTTGGCTCCAGGCATTTCTTGAAGAGACACACATCCTGTGGGCACCACACAAAGGTGACACTGGCACAGGTAAGTATCCTCTCCGACATGGATCTGGCAGACAGAGCATGCTCACAGCACGTGCATGGAAATTGTGTGCAAAGACAATTTGAAATTCCTACTCTCAGTGCAGGTGAAACACTCGGTGTGACAGAAGCTGGTTTCTGTTCTCTTGGATTTGGGTCTCTCACTTCAGGCAAAAAAGATTTCAATAACAGAGTCCCTGGCAGTACTTTGCCACAGATAATGACCTATTTACAGAGGAAGGAACTGTGCTCCCTTTTCATGCACTTTCCAACATGGGAAAAAAAWTCTGTAGCATCATAGCAATTTTGCCAAGCTGGGATAATCTTTTATAGCCAAAATTAGTTGATAGTGGCTCTCCAACTATTAGAGTTGCCTTTTCTGTGCTCTCCACCTGTTTATCTGACTCCTGGGCTGCAATCAGTCTCTCATCAGTCCCATTGGCATGAAGAGAAGTTAACTTTACTTGCATTTTTTGAGTCCTGTTTCAGAAGTGCATGTCTTCATTTTAGCTCAGCCATGAGCCTGTCATTTTGCTTTGATGAGAAGTTATGTTTTTCAGAGAGTGGGGGGTTGGCATGTGCACTTGGTAGGAGGGAAGTTCCTTTCCTTCCTCTTCTTTCCCCCTTTCTTCCTTGAGTTGAATTTTTTTTAGTCTCTCTTAAAAATGGCTTTTTGTTTACTCACAGCCTTTACTCACATCCCTTCTTCTTACAGCTGTAATTCAGTTTTCTTCTTTATGAATCTTCAGTGCTGTGGTTTCCTAAAATATCTGAGCACAATCTCTGAGTTACAAAGGAAGGGGGAGATTTGGCCCCTTTAAGATGCAATAAATAAAATGCTGAGAAATCTTCTATTATAATGCATGATAGCAGCTACTTCAAAATGAAAACCCTAAATAAATGTTTTCACTTAATGGTAGACCTTTAAGGCCAAGATGATATTTTCTGCCTGGGGTTTCTCCTGAGGTTTCTCCCTGAAGCCAGCTGAGTTGCTGGACATTTCCCAGCCCCCCTTGGGTGGGAACAGAGGCAGCAGCAGGCAAAAATGTGAATGAGCTCAGCCCTTTCTCTGCCCAGCCTAAGGGGAGACACAGGCATCCATCACCGGGGCTTCAGGTCACAGCCTCTCCTTAATCACTGCTGTGAAACCAAAAGGGGAATAAAGAGRGTTTCCTAATGCTGAGCTGTACCTGAACTTTGCTGCTGCTGGTGGAGCTCACAGTGTTAAACAGGAGAGCTGCACTCGAAGCTGGCGCGTTTGTTTTAGTTCAGCTCATTAATCTAACTGAGGCATTGCTGGCTTCAGCCACTGCGAGGATTAAGTGGGGCAGCAAAACAAACGGAAGCCTGAATATCTGCCCAGGTTATCAGCACCTCCCTTCCACCAGCAAACACCCTGGGACTGATCACTTAGGGGGGGCCCTAACCCCTACTCTGTTGTCTGACTTCGTTATTACTGAAATTCCTTTTCAGGCTTTTATTGCCAGGAATATTGACCAGGCAGACATGAAAAACACAGAAATGAGAATAAATYATTACCTGTGCTGGCAGCCACAATTGAGAACAGACAGGGTGGTTTCTTGTTTSATACTGATGGTTCACTTTTGTGCTCCTGTGTACAGGATTGATAGTTCATCATAACCTGAACAATACCATCCGTAGATAAAGTGCAGGTGCTGCAATTTGCTGAAGGGTATTTCTGATTATTTTACCCTCAGAGATGTTGTTTCTTTATCAGTGCTCAGAAGCTTTCCTTCTTTCAAACCTATCCTTTAATTTATTGGGGGGTGGGGTGATTTTTAGAAAGCTTTCTTCTTTCTTCTGATGGCTTAATTCAGACAGATCATGTTGACCCTGCCGTGGCCCATCCTCTGTGCAATTCAGAGCTAAAGCTCAGACTTTGAGAATGATGTGCTTTTAAATCAGTGAACCTCAGCTTCTCTCCAAGACCTGTGCAGATGCTGCACAAGTAACTGTGCTGGCACCACGAAGGTTACACCCATGCAAAACAGACATGAACAATGGGGACAACGGGGCTGCACAATGACCAGCAATAATATCTGTTGACCCTCAGGGTGCAGTTTCCCATTTGGGCTTAATCTGATCTGACCATGGGCTGCTGGTGAAAGGGTGGTCCTGCTCTTCCTGCCTGCTCCTACCCATGCATTCCTGGCACCTCCCTTGCACTGGAAGYTGTGATCCCAGAGGCTACAGAAAGAGCCAACAGAATTTTTTATATTTTTTTTTAAGTAAATGAGTTTTCTGCAGAATTAACAAGCMAATCCAAATCACTGCCACAGCAGTATCCCTAGGTCGGATGCAGGGGATCAACAGGTCAGCTGGAAACCTAGAGTTGGACTGGGTTAAAGATAATCAGAAAACATATCATACAGGGAACCACCCCTCTCTCCACCTATCAATGTGATAACACAAACCAGTCTGACAAAGCAGCCAGGACGAGAGCAAGGGCTCAAGATCAGTCCTGGTTCTCCATCCTCACTCACCAGTGCTGCCCACAGCAGTCACCTTGCCTGCATTTCCCTCACTCCATCTCCAGCTGCAGCTCCACCCGCATGCAGCACCAACCAGACAATGTTCTTGAGGGAATCTGGGACACTTCCACGAGCCATTTCTCCTTCAGCTGTGGTGGGAAAAAGAAACAGGTGTAATCATTTGGTCTTGTCCTCTGCAGGTCCCTGGGAGCAGGGATGGCTAAGGGGATGACAGTGGTGTCCTGATTCCTCAGACTGGAATATTCCTGCCTATGATGTGGTGGAAGTGGATTTCTCCCTCAGCCCTGCTGCTGCCTTCCCTTCTGAGCATTACCTTTGCATGGCAGCCCTACTGCATCAGCGATCCCCATGTATGGCTGCCACCCTGCTCCCCTTGAGGCTGTGCACAGGGACAATAGCTGCAAGAAAGCTTCTGAGAGCAGGGTGCAGAGGGGTTTGTGAAAAGGTGATGGCCAGGCAGGGCAAGTGCATGGGAGAGCCAAAGCCATGGAAGGGGCTCTGAAAAAAAACTATATTTTCCAAGGAGCCCTGTGGGGAAACTCATTTGCAAAGACAGGCTGGC